AACATTCTTATATGGAGAACTTTGAACTGGTGATTTTCAAATGTTGCGTAGCGATTGTAACTGTGCGCCCGAAGGAATGCGCCGAATTTCTCTGTAAAGAGTTTTACGAGGACGTTGGCAGGTATTCACTGAGTCATCGCTTATTGTTCCTGGATATATTAGCCGAGTCTGCCAAGCAGTTATCAAAAATCGATGTCGATGACGCGGATAGCGCCGACGTTACCATAGATACGGCGATTAAGAAGAAACGAATTCCAAGCCGAATATCACTTTTTATCGATACGCAAGAAAATAAAAAACAACAAGTGTGGTCGAACGAGGACTTCGACATTGATTTACAAGCGTCGGAAAATCAATCTGCAGATTGGCAAGAAATTGTCGATAAAAGAATCGCGTCGCGTACGAGACGATTTGCGCATAATTCCAAGTCTCCCAAGTTACGCATTAATCACTTTGGAAATGTAGCGTCTTCATTTTTCTATCCGCTTTTGCACGGCTTTGGCCGTCGAGATGTTCTCAAGCTGAGCGGCTTGAAAATTTACGCGGATCAGGAAAATATCTTATTGCTACGTTTCCTGAAAACACTGTCTGCCATAATGTTAGCGGCGCAAAATTGTCCGCTGGCATCGAAGATGGGCAAAGAAATATTGGAGCTTTTGTGGACGGTGAGGAATCACGATGAAGCGACAGTGAGATTAGCCGTTACGGAAAATATCGGATCCGTACTTATTGCGGTGCCGAAAGATGCCATCATCGACGAATTGTCTGAGCCTTTGATGGAAATAAGAGAATGGCTTCTGTTGTCGCAAAATGTCGTCAATGGCGAACACGACGCAAATTGCAGGGCTTTAAACGCGAAAGTGCTATCCTTCGTCAATTTGATTGTAACCTCCGCTTTTAATTCTGTGTAGATTAATCGAGAGACTTTCAATTTTTACAATATTATTGGAAAGAACTTTTTATTCTTACAGTATTGTAATCATTTATGTGAAGATTATGTATGTACATTTTCTCGTAGAACATATTTTGTTGAGTTAATTTTTCTATTTGCGAAAATTATAAACTACAAAATGGATTATGTAATATAATTTATATACAAAGAAGTTTTGTTATTGTAATTTTTAATTGATGTTTAAACCATACAGAATTCGTACATTAGCAATAGCAATATGTTAATTAGCAATAACGATCTTGCTAACGACGTTGAAAACAATTTTACATAGGTCAACATATGTAACATATTTATATGACATTATACAACATAAAAGATCGCTTTGTAATACAATGCTTTTATTTATAGTACTTTGTAGAGAGTACGCATTGTTTAATTAATTTAAATATTATAAAATAATTGAACAATATGTAGAATTGTAACTACATCAAATAAAATTTAATTTATTTTCTATTATAAATTTTAATAGAATATTAAAGAATAATAGAATATTTTTAAATATAAATTTGTGTTGGAAATTTTTATGTAGATTCATGTACAGATACGAGATAACAATTACAAGGTGTGCTACGAACTAAAATTAGTGTCGTATTTAGGATCAGTCGGATTGTCACCGACGAATCTTCTTCCACCTACATCCATCAATGCTAGAAATCAACCGTCTAGTAATACGACGTCGTCTACGCCAGTCGGCTCGACCTGGGCTAGTTCGGGATTGAATATCGATCTCGACAATATAATGGGTGGTAAAACGAAACAAAGTGGCCCAGCACCGACGATGAACCAATTGGCTAGCAATAGCCCGCAACATCAAATCAAGATAGGACGTAAGTAATTTCTTAACGGCCTGTTAGATTGATGTAACAGTCGGTTTTCCATTAAGTTCTGTATTGATAAAGTTAACGTTTTCCGATTAGACTGAGATAGCGTAGCGTTTAATGAAACGTAATTGTTTGTAAATCTCAAATTATTTCCAAATTAGCTATTATAGTCCGAATGCCGTCTCACTTAATTTGTATGCGAGAACATGCGGGGTGAGTAAGGATGAAATTGTGTATGTCTGTAGCATCAGGAATGGGATATATGTCACCGGTGCAATCTCTACCACAGAATCAGCAGCAGCAACCCAATGCAACGTTCTTTCCTGCATTCCAATAAAGGATTATTGGACGGTTCGGTCTAGAACACAGTCTCAAGGCACAATATGCAAGAATTTAAGCTTCACGCAAAAACTCGTTACCATTTATTTCGATTGATTCAATTGACGATAATAAATCTTACATTTTCCGCCTGGGCTACAATTTAAACACAGGGTTCAACATTAAACAATTATGTATATCGAAATACTTTTTATTAGCACTCAGCCCTAGGCATAACGTGTTTTAAGAGACATATATATGTGTTCAGAAAACGATTCGAAAGGATAAATTGAAGCATTTGTCGGTATTTTGTAATTTTTATTTAGATAAGAAATATTTCAATACCGCGATATAAATTCTTATCAATTGAAATTTATATATATAAAAAAAATGATATGCAGTAAAAGAAAAATGCAAATAATGTACAATAATAACAAATAATATACAAAGAAATGAATCATTTTTCTTAATTATTACGAGGCAGCTAGTAGCGGTATATGTCTAAGCCAATAACTCAGAGGCGACGACAAGCAGCATTCCTGTAACTCATAAAATGCATGTAATTTCTGTAATATGCGTCATACTACTTGTGTATTATGCGGGAACAAATCTGGCAGGAATTATTGCTGTGTGTATTTTATACATAAATGTATATTAAACTTGGAAGAATTGGGATTATGCCTTATATAGATAAAAAAATGTATCATAAAAATATATACATACTGTGAAAAACTCGAAAGAGCATAATCTAATTAGTCGCGTTTACTTGTTCATCACATGTGTACATTGTCTGGAACATGGACACAATGGGTGAAAGTTGATGCTTTTATAATTAATAGACTATACGAAGGATAACGATTGCGGTAGTCATAAAAACGTGTATGTAAAACGATGGCAGCATAGGAGTTTTGTGAGGAGAAAATGAATCACTAGTGGATATTAATATGTGCTTCCCTCTTACGATTATTATGACAGGAGAAATTACGATTATTGATTTCCTTTCGTAGAAAAAAAATGTAGATAGGAAGATGTATTTTTAGCATTTCGTTTATCATGAATTGAAATGTGAATTGAATCTATGCACAAAATCGTGCGGCGTGAGAAAACTTTTGTGCTCGATTCAATTACATACGCGATTATGATCCAATGTAAATTATCTAAGGATTCATTAATTGCGTAATTTTAACACGAATTAAAAAAAAATTATAATCTTTATTATTACGTGATATTATACAATTATCGTAAACATTGAACGACGAAAAAATCATTAGCGCATATGATTATATCTTACTAACAATGAAATAATGCATATCCTTCTACATAAATGTTTATGGAATTATCATCACGTCGTAATTAATTCTAAGTAGTAATTAATATACCATTATTGTGTTATACATATAATCATATTCACATCACACATTGTTGTTTTTAATTTAGTTTATCTTTGCTGCATGATATTGAGATATTTTAAGTTACTCGTCGCAGAAATTTTAATTTTTATTATGATAAAAATTTATATTATTGAAATTATCGTGTATGCGTTGTATGTATATATGTTGACAAAAAAAAGAAGAAAAAAAAGATGCTTGGCATTTATCTATCAATTTTTAACAGCAATACGCAGGAAAAAAAATTTACAAGCTGAAATTACTTGAAGCTCAGTGGCAAAGCTAGACGTTACACACATGTTATAAGAATGGTCTTTATTATTCTATTTCTACAAAAGTATACAATGTGGTATAGTATTACGAGATTGCAGATCTCAGAAGCAATTGATATAATAGAAGCCATTCTGCAATTATATGTATAGAAAAGAGTATTATGTCGAATAGTTATCCATTTGTTCAGTTTTGCCCTGTAAAGTTGACTCAAAGAGTTATCATATGCTAGAGAAGAACTTTCACGCGAGTACCAGAGACTGAATTATGTAAGAGGCAAGTGGCCCTTTTTACATTTTCCATTATTTGAGCATTTTATATGAGGCAAGATGTTTAACAACATAGGCAGGGAGATATATTTTTCAAATATGAAAATATATTGTACAAATATATAAAAAAGAGAAAGGTCGTTTTAGTCAATTCAACGCATGGAGAATCATCAGCCGATTATTAAGCGTTATTACGAGGGTGCATGTACAGTTTAATGTTATAAAACCCTTTGTAAAACTCGAAGTTAACACGTCGCAAGATCGCACCTATTAGTTTTCTCGTAGCTGGCGAATTCTGCAGTACTTTGCGTAACTTATTATTCCCCATTAAAAATTTACATCTCATTCTTGTGTTATTTACGCGCGATAATATTGTTCATGACATTTAGATTTATCGAATTGATACCCCATTACAAATTTTTCTAAATTTTTATCATGTAAAATATCACAAAAAAAATGTTTAAATGAAAATACAGATAAAAATGTTTGGCAACATTTTTAGTACATTTTGTATCAATATCTTATTATGTAATAAATATTTGGATTATATTTTGATACATATCAATATTAGTCGCGCGTATAAAAAATATATTATACACATAATCCAATGTAATATATAAAATATATGAGTTTACATGAAATTTATATTTGATCAATCAACGATTATTAATTCTCCAATGTAAATTACAGCAGGATGATACGTTGATTATAGTATTTATAGCGATTCGATATTTAAATAGCTCAGTTGATTTTTGAGACTCTGAGACTTCGCTAGAACCAATAATTTGATTGTATAATTACTGTTTAGGTATTTATATCTATACTTTACAAACTTATCGTTATTAAATGCTAATTGGTGCTGGTGTTAACACATGATATTATGTATTTCCGTTTACTTTTATTACTATAAATTACCTCTCTTCCTGTTCCTGTCAAATTGAGAAAGTGGCAAATAGGCATAACTAAATTTTTTCTGTTTGCGTGTGTAAATTTTGTCCATTTTATTTTCTTAGAATATAAATTACACAATTGGTCGTCAATCATTCATGAGTCCAGTGATTAAGTTCGATGTACACAATCCTAGTTTTATGTTTAAGATTTCCTTCAATACATAAAAAATACATGTATTTCCCCAATACAAAAAAACAATGTCATATCAAATAAAATTCCATTGATATTTTTGTTTGTATTTTCGTATCTTGTATCAATGTAGAAAGACACTGTAAATGTCTGCACTTGTAATGTATAAATTCCTAGAGGGATACAGAATGTGTCAACGCTAAATAATGGACGTAAACATAACTTTATGTTAATACAAAGAAGAAAAAGATTCCTAACTGTTAAGTAAAAATTTGTAGGAATATTTCCGAATATAAGCTTACATATAAAGAAGTATATTCCATCCTTATCTTAATGTATATGTATAGAAGGCGAATTTTTTTATTCATTATCAACCTTCGATTTTTTCTTTTTCTTCTTCTTCTGCAACGAGGTATCTACTTCGCCATTTTCAACGTGTCCATTTTCTTGCCCGTTTTCGAGCGACTGACGTTTTCTCTTTTTATCCTTCTTTTTCTTCTCCAGAGCAGCTAACATGATCTCCGTTTCTATCAGTGCCTCTTTCATTACTTCCAAATTTTTCTTCGGTTCCTTGCCAGTTGTGTAGAACTCTAATCTGTCCTCTACTTGCTGCCGTAATTTTTCACCAAATATCTTCGTCGGTATTTCCGTGAAACAATCAATTCTGGAAGCAATGGAACATTTATTCGCCAGGTACCTCGCAATTCTACCCTTATTTGCAGTGCCGGCGCGACCGATAAACGTAGAGTGGAACAAGAGCCCGTATTTCGGAGTATTCGACCTTCCACGACTTTTCAACGCTCTGAACAGGGCCTTCTCCGCTCCCAATATTTGAACGGTGGACGCCGGTGCCTTCGCTAAGTTAGTAAGCGATCCCGCGTGTGCTATTAATCTAGCGCCGACTTGATCTCCGATTAAAGTAGCTAAATTCGGTGCTATTCCTGCCATTTTCGACGTTAAATATTCGGCCATCTTTTTCCTGTACCCCACCAATGCGACAACACGTCCAGCAAAGATCTCAACGTTCATTAAATCAACTGGACTTATGTCCATCCCCATGGACGACTTGGCCGCGTTGACGATAGCATGAGCTCTTGCACTGTCCATAACGATTTCTTCTAACTCCGCCACCTTCTCATCCGTCAGTTCTTTCCGGTTTTTTATTACTTGCGCCACTCTCGCGTACGTATAATTCTCCGGAACTATCTTTGAAAGTTCTGGGTAGTGATAACTGTACCATTCTCTGAAATCAAAATGTAAAACCAAATTTATTTCCGATTGTCTACTAATCTATTATATATTTCTGATATATTCAAAAAATATACTGTACGTACCGCATACGCATACTGAACGTGTTAATATCCTTGTCCAATTGATCTAGCAAAGCTATACTCTGGATGATCATGTTGTCCACTCGGTTCACGTTGAATTTAACTTTTGCTCTCGAGTAACTGTGTCCAAGACCTAGTTGCGCAATCACCGAGGTCTGAGCGGTGAAGCCTTTCACCAGATTATGAAAATGCAATCTTATTCCTCTCATGACTTCAGGAACGGCATTGACATAATCGCACCTTATGCCCAGAGTTTCGGTGATATTGGCACCGAGTTTGGGATCCGCAACGCCGAGAACAAAATCCTCTTTGGCAAACCCACCGAAGGAGGAATCTAGGAAGAGCTTTAGGTCCTCTGTAACGATTCCTTCGGAGACACTGTTGATATTTTCCAGAGCGGACAACGCCGTCTTGAAGGGTGAAAACCCATGGTAGGTGACAATCTTGCGGAAACGCGACAGATCTTTCACGGATTCTTCCACCTGAGGTAACTGCATTCCAATCTCCTCGAACTCTTTGACTTTGAATACCGCGTATCCAGCGGCATGTTCAAATAAAATGAAGAGCTGCGACTGTAAAAGAAGCAATTATAATTAGCGTTACGATATAACGGTAATATTCTAATATGAAAAAAATATTGCATTTTGTTATTTTGTTTATTTTTCACAATAAATGCCTTTTACTATTATCGTTATTTCCGTTATTGTATTGTTATTATTATTATTTCATTCTTAGAATAAATAAATATTGTACACAAAGCAACCTGTCCTGATTTGGAGGTTAACCTCAAAATTCGTATAATAATATACAATCTTTCGTGAAATAACTATATTTAAAACGTGCAAACGGAGCCTACATTGCGATTTGAAAAATATTTATCTCAAACTCGGATCTAAAAACATTATTAACGCATAAAATTGTACAAATTGCGACGCTTGCATATCGATTGCGTATCCGGTCGGCAGGAAAAAATTACAAATTACATCTTGGAATAAGTCACTGTTGCGACACAATTTGGAAATCTTGCACTTACCATTTTTTAAAAATTATATAATTTTTATTTGGCCTACGCTGGGTCGGAAAGAACACTCAACACTCAACGCGCGTGAAACCACGCGAACGCAGGACCATGTGTGTTGCAGACTGCAAGATATTAATAACGGAAGTGAGGTAGTAGGTAGTGGTAGATGGATGCGACAGCATTTCCTGTGATTCGAGACACGTCTTTTATACCAGGGTACGGTAAGGAAGTTTAAACTTGAAAACAAAAAGAAATATACTATATTTAGCTTGGACACAATTTTTAAGATGTTAGAAAAAATTAATAATTGTTTTATAAAAGATTTTGATTTACCTGCAAAAGAAAATAAACATAAATACAGAAATATTATATTATTTACGCTGATATTATTATTTATGCTTCTCATATAAGCTTTTAAACGACAAAAAGCAATATATATTGTTTAGCTCACACTTGCATACACAATGGCTGCGTTCGGTGAAGCGTGCTATTATTGCATCGTTCTATCTTTATCGTTCATCAAGTGTAGAACAAGGATAGAGCAAATAGCGCGCTCTCGCGAACGCAGTATTTGTGCATGCAAATGTGAGCTAAACAATAAAAACTCATATAAGGAGCGTAAATAATAATATCAGCGTAAATAATATTATATAATATTTCTGTATTAATATCATGCACATTTTTAATGTCATGGTCCTCCTCATCCGCTCAGTCCTACCAGAGAGAAGAATCTCTGGTCCTACTATTTACTCGATGTGTTGCGCACGTAGATTATACAATATTGTATATGAGACCTATAATTTATAACGCCGATTCCGAACGGCTATATTTTTTTTAAAGAAGTGTTGAATGGCAAGAATACTTTCGGTGGTTTATTGCCATTGCCTTCCGAGAGGAGAACGAGCAAATATAATTTTTCTAGCTCTACCGAATCGAACCCGGGACCTTTTTGGCTCAATAGACCAGTGCGCTGTCTACTAGGCCACGCTCGATCGTTCTCAGATATAGTTTTAGTAAATAAATTAAAATTGAAATGTATATCTAATATCTAATCTAATTTAAAACTACTTTTTATTTTTGTAAGATTGTTCGCAAAAATAGTTTTAAAAAATATTAATATCAATCAATCATTCAATTTATAATAATTTACATTGTTTACATTGTCTACATGAAAAAGGTTTGTAAGCATAAATGTAAATACCATGCAGATTCAATCTTAAAATTTACAGCACAATATAATCCTAGCTGTTTTCCATTTCCATGCACGCGTCTATAATGTCCATTTCTACCAATGTCGATTAACTTTCTAATTCTTAATTATAACTAGAAAAAGATAAAAAGTATAAAGTTATACCGAGATTAATTAAAATCTGTATTGATAAAACTGGACATAAAAGGGTTGAATTTTTTAAATTTCAATCTTCATTCACACAGCATGCGTCAAAAGGAGCATGCGTTTAATTGGCGGAACGAGCATTGGTCTTATATATTTAGAAGTCTTTGGTTTCAACGCGTGCATGGAAACTGGATTATAAGATATGGAGGATATATCTCGGATCAGTTCGATCCCCTGTAATGCCTTATGTCCAGTTGTCCGCGATATTTATAGAAATCCGAGATCTCGGACGGAGAAAAAATTGACCAATCATATTTAAACAATTCGGCAATTGACCAATGCGATTGGTTAATACTTACTCCGTCCGAGATCTCAGAGCGATTTCTAACGTCGTAGACACAAAAGGCTTTTTATTCCATGATTTGCGCTAAATTTAATTACGCGTCCGAACGTCAATTCATAATTACATGGACATCGCGGAGTTTATATAATTGTCTCGTTTTTACGAGATTCGCCACTTTAATGCGTCATCCATTTCTATCAACGTAGATTAATTAACTTTATAATCTCAGTTTAGCTTATCTTTATTTTATCTTTTTTAGTTCTAAGAATTAGAAAGAGTTAAAAAAGTAACCGAGATTAAAGTTAATCTACATATATTTGTAGAAATCAGAACTATAAACGTTTGCTCGATCGCCGCTCTTTCCCAACGAATAACATTTCGCGTTCGTACATACGTCTCATTGCGTAATAGATTGTAAATTATCTAGTTGCGCTCGTTTATTTTCCCGTTGATAAAAACACGCTCGCCTTCCCGCGGATCGGATTGGCCCGAGCTTCCAGATGATCGAATCGAATTTATCGAACGTAAAAAGGCGCGATTGCGTTTCATGTCCATTTCTACCTACGCGAATCAATTTTAATCTCAATTTAACTTACTCTTTATTCTTCTTCTAATTTCTAAGAACTAAAAAGGAATAAAAAGTAAGTTAAATCGAGATTAAAGTTAATCCGCAACGGCAGAAATGCTGACCATCGGGTAGGCGCGCGCCAGCATCCGCCCCTGCCCGGCCGCGCGCGCCGATCCGCGGCATCCGCGCGCGCGAAACGTCAAGTTGGCAACGGCGGTCAGCGTACTATTCCATACCATTCGCCGTTGGCTTCCGGCCGTGTGTGTGCGATACGGCTGTGGCCAGGTGCGCGGGGACGAGTCGTTTTTACCGCGTCGAGAGAAACCTTGTGCCGTGCGCGTCGAACGGCGGTGTCGGACGTCGGACGCCGTCGGACGGGAATCGTCGCGTTATCCTGGTTATGAGATTGCCCCGGCGCGGGAGACACGCCGCGCGGTTACGTTAAACGCGGTAACCGGAACGCCGATCGGCGGCGTCGACGGGCATAGCCTCTCGCGGCCCGACGTCGGGATCCCGGTGCTGCTGGCGCGAACACCACCGCGCGCACACGGTCCGTCCGTCGTCCCGTGCCACTTGGCGTGCGTCGCGCGCGTGAGAGAGCGCGACAGCGAAAGAGGACGGGAGAGAAAGAGAGAGAGAGGGAGAGAGCGTTGTCCGTGCGTCCGCGGCGCGTCGAGAAGGCTGAGGGCTGAGGAAGAGGACAAGGAGGATAAGGAGGACGAGAAGAGGGAAGAATAAAGAGAATCGTCGCGATCGCGGCCGACGGTCGCGATGCCGCTTCTACGCAAACAGCCGTTCCAGCGGCTTCACGTCTCCTCGGACTTCAGGGACGACGACGAGGTCTACCACTGCGAGGTTACGAACGAGATATTCAAGAACTACAAGTGAGTGCTCCGCGGGACGTGGGAGGACGCAACGGCCGGGCTTCGGGGCCCGATTGATCCCGTCGCCCGAGATTGTCGACGACGTTTCGCGTCGCCGTATACGCGGGAGAGCGGATACATCATTAAAGCGCGATCGATTGTTTATCCGCGGGGGACCGCGGACGCGGGCTTGCGTTACCGCGCGAATAATGCGCCAATTGTCGGTCCCGACTACCGCATTGCATAAAAACTGGTGTAATCTTGTCATAAGATTGTAGACCGAAGCCCGTCTTGGCTTGTTCCGGCCTGGCTCAGAAATTTGTTCCGAAAAGTTTGTTCACGTCCACGTGAATGAAGGCGACTTTGATCGAATCCGGATTAACTTGAGCAGCGATTAATTCGACCAGCAGAATTGCTCGCAGCAAAACGACTGTAGGCGATTCGTCCCCGATCTAATTTTTACTTCAGACAATAAAGAAGATTAATAAAATTACGAGTTTAATGTCCATTTCTGTCAATATATATTAACTGTAATTTCGATTTAACTTACTTTTTTATCTTAGAACTGGAAAAAGATAAAAAAGTAAGTCAAACCGAGAATAAAGTTAAATCATTGGTAGAGATGGACATTAGTCGCTGATTAAGCTAATCAGTTTGATCAAAGTCTTCCTAAGGCCAATTTTACTCGAAAATCGTATATTCTATTTCACGCTAAATTCCTTTTCCCTTTTTTTTTTCCTTTTTTGAAAACGTACGGTAATGTATGTTGAAATACAGTTAAAAAAAAACGTGAATGGACTGATTGTAAACAAACTTCGGAAAGCTTTATCAATTTATCATTTATCATGCACTTATGCTGCATTATGTTGACGAATTCATTAATGAATTTTTTCGGTGTCTTAATAATTTGAGAGCGTCATTCGATACAACAACACAGTGTCGTTTTACCATGAATGACATTTTTTTAAATTGTAGGTATTTTTTTATTCGGATAAGATTCTACTCAATAGGAACATTCTGACTGATACTTATTAAGAATTTGCATTTACATCATTTAGATTAACGACCATCATACAATATATTGAATAGATAATGAATAAAGATGAATTTTTATTGTTTCTTGTTGGAAAATACCTGTTATGTCCGTTTAAGTAAAAATTTATAGTCAGATATGTATCTCTTACATTGTTAATTTACAAATTGAATGGATTTTACTGTTATTAGTTGTTACACTGTCAAATGTGCTTAACATTTATTAATCTAGTTTCTATATTATTGTTTTAATAAGCTTTTTATAGATATGTATGAACACAATTTGAAGTTTTGTTAAATGTACATACGAATGAACATAATTATAATATTCTATGGTCATACACATACATATATATAAGCTTTTAACTTTATTTTTAATTTTTAAGTATATTTAATAATCAAATGTTATTCGTGTTTTTTAAAGCTTTTATATATTTTGAAGATTTAATAAGTTAAATTAATTTAAAATAAATATACGTATATAAAAATTATTCTATATAAGTTATATTGTAATAAACTTTATGTATTTTCTGTTACAGTGAATTTTGCGAGCGGATAATCTTGTGCAACTCCCTTATATGGTCATGTAGTATCACAGGTAAAACTAATATGACATTCGAGGAAGCTTTGCAATGCGAAGAAAATGCGAAGAGGAGCTTGAAAGAATTCCCAATGGAGGTATAATTAAATTTTTATGTAATCTATGTGTTGAATCATCATTAATAATATGTATATTATTCCATATGTAAAATTCTATATTTTTTTTAGCTGCGAATCCCTATACTTTATCTGGCTAGTAAAACAAATAGATCTTCTTTCAACGAGATGATCGAAGACGTTTACCAATTTGCGAGAGATCGCTATTTTGTAGGAGAAATGGTAGAAGCTAGCTTTACCGACGACGCTTGGTGTAACTGTCATGTTCTTCAAGTCATCGTACCTACGGAACAGCAAATTAAGGCATATATGAATGAAAATGGCAGGTAAATGAATTAATTGA